AGCCACACTGTGCCGGGCCCTCTCTGGCCTGCCTTAGAGAGGTGGTGCGCAGCGGGCGTGGCCCCACTGCGCCATGATTTCTGTGAAATTTTGCAGTAGTGATGACGTTGTTTTCAGATTTCCAGGAGTTCTGTCTGTTCTGTTTTTTATTCAGAATGAAATATTTTTTTTAGTTCCGACACATTCCCTCTGCCTAATTCTCGTGTGGGAAAACTGGGGAGACTCGCCACCATCCAGTCGATGTGGGCTCCTAGTGGCCCTGCGGGTTTCCGAGACTGATGATGACTGGATTAGAAAGCCCAGTCTTTCTCCCCGGGAGCTGTTGCTGGTGATTTCGAACTGCCGACCATGTGGTTTGCAGCCCAATGAGTAACCACCACACCACCAGGGCTCCTGTGTTCTCTTGGGGAGAGTGTGGCCTTGGCCACTGTCTTCATGCACCTGAACCCCAGCTATGGCCTCCCCCCACCCCAGGTCCCTAGCTGCAGGTGACCCTCTGTCCACATCAAAACCACCACCCATGAGTGCAGCCCTGAGTCCTTACCGTGCCATATGCAGGGCACCTGCAGCAGAAGGGCTACAGAATTCACACCCCACCCCCACCCCCCGCGGGCAGGATCCGCACAGCTCCAGAACCAGGTCCCACTGTAAGCAGACCTAAGGGGCATCTCCATGTGTCCACTAGTCCACCCCATTTTTCCTCTGAGGTGAAGGGACCTTCTACGCGCAAGGGTCAGGAAGGGACATGTCCTAGGGACAGTCACTTTTCGTCTCAACACAGGGCCCCCAAGTCAATATTGACTCAGGTAGAACTGCCCTGTGGGTTTCTGAGACCATAACGCTACAAGAGGAGGAAGCCCCATCTCTCCCACAGAGTGGCTGGTGGTTTCAAACTGCAGACCTTGCAGCTAGCAGCCCAGCTCAAAACCGCTGTGCCACCAGACTCCTCTATGTGTACCTACAGTTGAGAATCCAGAGGCACCCAGACTGGGCTCTGCCACTAGGACCAGCTCCTCCCCTGCTGGGCCTGGAGCCGGGGCCGGTGTGGGCTTCCTGTTGCTGCTACAAATGGCCACAAATCTTGTGGCTCAGTTTTATCACCCTGTTGTAGGGGTCAGCTGGTCCCCACCCCCCAGGGTTCCTGCACAACCATTTCCCTGGCCCATCTGACGACCAGTGGCCAGCTTTTGGCTTGTGACCCCTTCCTCCATCTTTGAAACCAACATCGGGGCGTCTTCGCCTGCGGCCACTAGCTTTCCAGCCTCTGAGCCCCACACAGTGAGATGAAAGGACAAAGGGGTGGTGCCCAGGCGGGAGGTGAGAGAAGGGGAGCAAGAGAGCCATCTAGCAGGTACACGTGTGGGCGCCGGCCCATTCTGCTCACAGACCCTCTAAGATGGCCCCATGGAGCTTCTGCGTGGAAGCCAGTCATCCCACCTCTTCCTGGGGAGCGTCAGGTGGGTCCAAACTGCCGAGCTGTGCTACAGCAGACCGCTCAAGCACTGTGCAGCCAGGGCTCCCCTCAGAGACGTCAGCAAGTCAATAGTGGAGTCAGTTCTGACAGCCTTGTAGGGTGGTGGGGCCTGTTCCTGTTTAGGGGAGGAGACAGCTTCATCTTCCTCATGAGGAGAGATGGGGCTTTGAACCGCTGCCCTGGTGGTTAGCAGCCTAATGCACAACCCACCCAACAGCAGGGTTCCTTCCCAATTAGCGCACCTCAGAGAAGAACCTATGGGCTGAGTGCGGGCCAGAATCCTGTTTCAATGTAAGCCTGCACGTATGCTAATGGATCTGGTCTTCACAGTGCGGACTATGGGTATTGAGAGTGCTCTGGTGAGGGACCCTCAGGGGGCAGTGTGGTCAGTGACCCTGGGGGTGGGGCAGTGTGAAGGTTGATCCTTATCCCGGGGCCCTTCCCCAACCCCAATGGCGTACGCAGCCCTTTTCTCCATGGACCAGCATTGGCCAAACCATGTACTGTGTCATGAGGGCACGTTGGCATGAGCAGGGTGGTTTCCCACGGTGATGGCCTTCAGCAACGCAGCCAGCCAAGCATACGGCTGTCCAGAGCTCCAGCTTTCAGCCCCATAGCCCACTGCCCCCATGCCTTGACCCTGTACTGTTGGGAGGAGAGCCAACAGCGGGAGCTGCTGCAGGGCAGAAGAGTCACCCTAAATCCAGAAAGATGTGCAGCTCCTCAGCTCTTGGTTGGATGGGTGGGAGGGAGGATGACAGGGTTCCCAGGCAAGCGAGCTCTGCCAGGACCTTGCCTGTCTCATGCTGGTCCTGGGCTGCCCCTGCTGACCCCGCTTGTCCAGGCGCTGAACCTGTCGGGCCTTGGTGGTCCCCACAGCGCCACCTCCTGGGCTTCCCGTGAACAGCTCACTTCACACCACGCGCCGTCTTGGGGGGAAGCCAATGGTGACTATTCCTCTCCAGGACCCCAGCACAGGCTTGAATCCCTCCAGTGATAGGGTGCTCACTACCAGGAATCAGGCTGTCTCTTCCTCTGCACTCCCCACCTTGCTCTCAACCTCCACTGTTGGGGTGGAGGGTGGGGCAGGGTAGCTGGTGTCAGTCCATTCTGTCCCTCAGCTGCCAGCTGCACTAAAAACCCAAGGTAGGAGGTAGGGACCCAGGTAGGGACTGCTCCCTCACACCCTACTCCCCCATGGGCCCTGGGAGTCCAGGTGGCACCGTGATGATCTTGGTGGCTCTGTGCTGGAGGCAGCCCTTGGGCTGGACTTTGGTGCAAGACGGCGGTGACCTGCAAGTGTGGGCATCTGCTCACAGGAAGCACCCCAGGAGAGAGGGGCTGAAGCAAGTGGCTGCCAGGTGGTCTCTGGAGCCGAGGGGCCCCTCAGAGCTGCCACCTGACATGAGGACAGCACCATGGCCACCTTAGAGCACTGGCCACCCTGGCTTCCAACCTCCCTCCCCTCTGACAACACTCCCCTCCAATCTCCCTCACCTCCGATCACACTCACCTCCAACCATGCTCACCTACGACCACCCTCACCTCCGACCACACACACCTCCGATCTCCCTCACCTCTGAGGTCCATCACCTCTGACCTTCCTCACTTCCGACCTCCCTCACCTCTGACCACACTCACCCCCTACTTTCCTCACCTCCAAACACATTCACCTCCAACCACGCTCACCCCCGACCACACTCACCTCCAACATCCCTCACTTCTGACCACGCTCACTTCGACCACCCTCACCTCCAACCACCCTCACCTGTGACCTCCCTCACCTCCAACCATGCTCGCCTCCGACCACGCTCACCTACGACCACCCTCACCTCTGACCACATACACCTCTGACCACACACACCTCCAATCTCCTTCATCTCCAACCTCCCTCACCTCTGACGTCCATCACCTCTGACCTTCCTCACTTCCGACCTCCCTCACCTCCAACCACACTCACCCCCGACCACACTCACCTCCGACCACTCTCACCTCCGAACATGCTCACCTCCAACATCCCTCACTTCTGACCACACTCACCTCCTACTTCCCTCACCT